GAGGAACCCCTTCGCCCGCCTGGACAACCGGCCGCGGGCCGCTGCTGAGCCCCCCGACGGGCCGCCCCGCGGCCAGCAGGAGGCGCCGGGCCCGGTGAGTGTGTCGGTGCTCGCCCGGGGGCTCCGGGGCTCCGTGCTGTGAGGGAGGGGTGGCGATTGGTTTCCTTCAGGGGAAACGGGCGCGGAGAGTGGAAGCCGCCGTGGCCTCCGGTGCCCGGCGCCGGGAGGGCCGCTCCGAACGGTCGGGCTTGGGAAGTGCGCTCCGCGGGCGGCCGGCTCGCGCGTCCCCCACCCAGCCGGAGCCCGGCCGCAGGAGTCCTGGCCGCAGCCCTCTGTGGGGTCAGAGCTCAGGGCCAGATCGCTCGGAAAACCCTAGAACACCTCCTCCTGGAAGGCCGTGCTGGAGGGAAGCTTGCGAGGCGCTCTGTCCCTGCTGATTGAGCGCCCCTGCTCCCGCGCCCCGAGCTCCTCTGGGGTGGAGGCGTGTCGAGGGCTCAGGGGCTCGGGACTGAGCAGCGTTTGTCTTACCTCGAGCCTTTTGGATCTTTCGATTTGAGGTTTCTACGTCAGTTATTGGATGCGCAAATCGCCGGGCTTTTGTCCCCCCGATTGTGATAGTAAAGTTGAGACGACAGAACTGAAGTGAGGCGCTGATACGCGCCTGGGCGCGTGTGCTTCCCGCGCTCGCGTTCCTGGAGCCGTGCGCGCCCGCTGAGGCTGTGTGCACGCTGAGAGCGAGCTCCAGCGTCGCTGACCAGTGAAAAGCACCGTTGTTTTAACCTCAGTTTTTAGATGCTAATCAAGAAAATGATTTGCTGCGGGAAGAGAAGTTTCCTGAAAGAACAGCAGATACTGAATTACTCCAGGTAATACTTTTGAAATGTCATTAGAATGTATATTCTTACAATATGAATTCGTACTTCTCAGAAGCATTTTGCTTGGAAAACAGTTGCACAGACAGCCTTGAGGGAGTGATCCCCTCTGCCAGGTTGGAAAGATGGCCGCAGCCCCGGGAAAGTGCTTGGGATGCTGTGGTGGTGATGTTTATAATGGCAGCCGCCCTAAAGTAACCCAGAGGTGGGTTTTCCTTCTGTCTCCAACGGTTTTTAACACTGTTCTTGTGTAGGGGGTGCCAACTCGGGCTCACCACTCAGAGCCAAGCCCCTCCAGGCTCAGCTGCCTTTTGAACTGAGTCCTTCACTGAATCTTCAAACCGGATCCTCAGATTACCTCACAGGTGGTGGCCTGTCACTGAACCTTGCTGACACCACCACTGCACTCACCCTCTTGATTCCATTCCGCAGGGACTTCTGTTGTGCTAGTTAGTGTGTCCTCCTGGGAGCCGGCTAGAAGAGTTTCTGCAGACCCCCTCCTTGTAAATAAATGACCTTCACAGGGTCTATTGAAAGTAGTTCCCCCTTCCTTTTTTTTTTTTGTGATGTCCCCTAAAAGAATCATTGTAATGTGGAGAATATTGACTTGAAAGGACAGCAAAACACTTTGGGAGGAAATCTTTGAGGTCAGAAAATGCTTCTTAAATATAGCCTCTAAGAGCCCCACCTAAGTTGCCTGCAGGAGCGGCTTAGCTCTGGTTCCAGAGGGGCTTAAAAGATTTTTAAAATACTTGGAAAATTTCTGCTTTGATAGCAATATCAATAGTAGGTTTTACTGTTTTTAATTATGATCATGAAAATAGTACATGCCCCTTTTAACTAAACTACGTAGAACTATAAACTAAAATGTGAAATCTGCCCCTCCACCACCACCACCACCACCACCACCAAATCCCCACTTCCCAGGGATGACTACTGTTAACAGTTCAATGTAGCTCTTTCCAGCCTTTTTCACAGTGTGTAGTATATTATCAATGTTATTTATTATACAGTTCATAAAATTTTGGCCTTTTAGTTATGAGTATGTTAGATTTGAAGTTTTTTTTCTTGGTACTCTACTAATTTTTGTGTTCTGTGTTTTCTAAAAGGCTCCGCACATATCATTCTCCGAATCTGATATTCCATCCTCAGATAGTACTGAGTTACCCGTGGACTGGAGTATTAAAACTCGACTCCTTTTCACCTCGTCTCAACCCTTCACCTGGGCAGATCACTTGAAAGCACAGGAAGAAGCTCAAGGTGTCGTCCAGCATTGTAGGGCAACAGAAGTTACTTTGCCTCAAAGTATCCAGGTAATTCTGAAAGAAAATGGCTATGTTTGAAAGTAACAAATTAAGTGTAAAATATACTTCTCTGCAAAGTATGAGAGATAGTTCCTTCCATTGCGTTTTTCTTCTGACATTTAAAGACACAAAGTCTTGGAAAATTCTGCATTTCCCAAATGGTGCTTTCGTACAGTTTTTTAGTCAGATTCAGTAACTGCCCATTAAATTTAGAGACCTGTCCTGAGAATTAGTGTTTCGGGCAGAAATTGTTTGAACTAAACCATTCTTTTCTAAGGCCTTTTGAGAAGGAAAATATAAGGAAAAGAAACGAAAAGCAATTGAGGAGTAGGATTGCAAAGGCAGATTGGTTATTTTACTGATTTTCTCACGTAATGTATACTCCACTTTTTTAAATGCACTAATTCTTGCTGTCTGGGTGATGGTCTATTGTAAATTTAGTAGAGTTAATGAGTTCTAGAATGGTTTTAGAGAAATGTAATTGTATTACTTTCAAGCAGCTCATCAATTCAAACTAGGTTAAAAGGAATTTCTTAAAAGAGGCCCTGGTACATCTTTTTTTTCAATAAATAGATCAGGATGATTTGTGATTCACAATATCAATTTTTACTGGCTGCTTTTGAAACAGGATTGTGAGGGGAGGGGGGTTGAACATAGTGTTACCTACACACACACACACACACACACACACACACACACACACTAAAAAAGATAGTCATTGTTCTGCAGGATAGTAGAGACAGGAGAATGTTTCCATCTATGTTTAAGTGTTTCTTCTGATGTATGGTTTAACAGACTGTAATTGCTGTCAAGAAAGGTTTTTTCAAACAGGAATAAACTACATTTTAGCCCCTATTAACAGTTATAAACACTTTCCTATAGGAAGCAGTAAAGATTCTGAGAATAAGTGTGTTTAGTATATTCAGTGTCTTTTTAATGAAATTTTGTGCTTCTAATGGGTAACAATGGTCCAATATCATCTCTGGATTTTAGGATCCCAAACTCTCCACTGAGCTCCGTTGTGCCTTTCAACAGAGCCTTATCTATTGGCTCCACCCTGCCTTTCCTTGGCTACCACTGTTCCCTCGTATTGGAGCTGATAGAAAAATGGCTGGAAAGGCAAGCCCTTGGTCAAATGATGAAACCCTGCAACACATTTTAATGAGTGACTGGTAAGATTAGTAAAAACTTGTGCAACACACTAGTGAATTTTCATTTTAGCAGTATTCTCTTTTTTATTTATGATGTGGAAACGTATAGACGTAGGAGGATTTCTGTGTCCTTCTGAATTATTTTATCTGAACTCTTAAAAACCAACATTTAAATTGTTTACATTTTGGGGCCCGCCCTGTGGCGTAGTGGGTAAGTCCAGTGCACTCCACTTCGACAGCCTGGATGGCCTGGGGTCATGGGTTCGGATCCCAGGCACAGACCTACACCACTCATCAGCCATGCTGAGGCAGCAACGCACATACAAAATAGAGGAAGATTGGTACAGATGTTAGCTCAGGGACAATCTTCCTCAAGCAAAGAAAAAAAGGAAAATTGGCAACAGATGTTAACTCAGGACGAATCTGCCTCACCAAAAAATATAATAAATTGTTTACTTCTTTAGCTCTTATTCACTCTTTATGCAATTGTGGGATGTATTTAAGTGTTTGATAAATATATAGAGACATAATTCTTTTTTTTTTTTTTTTTAAAGATTTTATTTTTTTTTTTTTCTCCCCCCAAAGCCCCAGTAGACAGTTGTATGTCATAGCTGCACATCCTTCTAGTTGCTGTATGTGGGACTCGGCCTCAGGATGGACAGAGAAGTGGTGCCTCGATGTGCACCCGGGATCCGAACCCGGGCCACCAGCATTGCAGCACGCGCACTTAACCACCAAGTCACAGGGCCGGCCCGAGACATAATTCTTTAATGTTACTCCTTATCAATGGCTGCTTCCTTTCTCATCAGCAGAAGCTCAGAGAAAGCAACCACTTATCAATTAAATTTTGCTTAAAGAAAAAGTTGTTAATGTTTAAGTGGTAACTACTACTTATTAAAGTATTTAGTAGTCATCAACAAGTCCTGTGACCAATTTTAGCCTTTAAAAGCCAAGTTGTATGAAATGGCAAAAATTCAAACCATTATCTGTAGTATTTATGTTGTGTTTTAAATCATGTTGAGTATCAAGCTGAATTATACAAAATTAAATTTTAGATTTTGAGTTAAATGTTTAATAATACCTAAAGAAAATTTTTTTGCTTCATAGGTCTGTGAGCTTCACTTCTCTATATAATCTGCTGAAGACAAAACTTTGCCCCTATTTTTATGTTTGTACCTATCAGTTTACTGTCCTGTTCCGTGCAGCAGGATTAGCAGGAAATGATGTAATCACAGCTCTCATATCTCCTACAACTAGAGGTTTAAGAGAAGCTATGAAAAATGAAGGTAAAACAATAGGTTTAAAATTAGAATAACACACTATATAATAAACAATTTACTTAAAAGCTAAAATTTGAATTCTTTTAACAGTTGAATTGTCTTTTACCAGTTTTACCTATGTTATTTTAAGAAATGTTTTATTTCTGATTTTTTCCAACAATTATTTAAGGTGTCCCTTATACATAGCTTTGAGTTAATGTTGTTCCCTTCTCTGATCTCTAAACATATATTGGGCTGGAAATTTCCAATCCAAATCTGAATATACCCCGCTATAAATTCCTTGATAATACAAATTACCCCCTTTTAATAACATAATTATCAAACTGGGTCAACCCCTTAGTGGATCATGAAATCTATTTAGTGGGCTCAATCAGCACTTTTAAAAAAAAAATGAAATCATGTAGAATATACTTTATGAAAGAGTACCACATGTAGTAAGTGTATGTATTGTTTCCTGAACTTTTTGTTTCCAGGAGGGGTGTGTCTGTGTTGTGGGCTACTGTCAAGAAAGCTTGAAAGCTACCGCTTTAATAATTCAAGTGTAAAAATTCACATTTTCAAATTTCATACTCTCCAAAAGTAGGGCAGTCATTTTAAATTCTTTTAGATTATATTAGAGAAAACTCAGTTACATTTTTGTTTTCTCATGTAGGTATTGAATTTTCTCTGCCTTTAATAAAAGAAAATGGCCATGAGAAGAAAGCATCTGGAACAACCTTGGGACATGAGGAGTATGTGATTAAAATAACCTTTTACATCGTCCTGTAACTTAACTCAGTGCAATAGTTTTGTAGAGAAAACGGCTTTATGAAGTGAGAACTCTAACTATAGCCATTTCCTAGGGAGCAAGCAGTCAGTGATGAGGATGAAGAAGAAAGTTTCTCCTGGCTAGAAGAGATGGGTGTGCAAGATAAAATTAAAAAACCAGATATACTCTCCATCAAGCTGTATCCTTTCAGTTGCTTTTCACTAGAATTGGTTTTCATTGAATTAAGTTAGTGAGCAATGTAATACTGACTGGCAATTTTATTTGACTATAATCTTAAATGATCTTAAGATCATATTAAAACTAATTCTCCATTATGACATTAAATAACAAACCCCTAAGTACCAATAAACTATGAACAATTATTAAACTTTTTTTTTTTAAGTGAAATTATTCCATTTTGGTTAAGTTTATGGGGGAACAGAACATATTTTTGACTAGAGACGAAATTAGTTTTTTTAGGTGTCAATTTCTAGCAAATTCAGATGGTCAAAGAGAAATCATTTTGATTTGAACAGGTGCCTTATGATTGTAGTGAAGAAGGGTAGCAAGAACAATTCCCGTTTGGAATGGGGATAAAAGGGTCCCAGGTGATTCAGAATAAAGATACCTGCTTTTCCCATTACTATGGTATTGCCTTTTGCAATTTCCTTGATTGTCATCTTCAGGCGTAAAGAGAAACATGAAGTACAAATGGACCACAGACCTGAGTCTGTTGTGTTGGTGAAAGGAATGAACACCTTTACATTGCTAAATTTTTTGATTAACTGTAAGAGTTTAATTGCTACCTCAGGTCCACAGGCAGGACTTCCACCAACCCTCTTATCCCCTATAGCTTTCCGAGGTGCCACAATGCAAATGCTTAAGGTAATTTAAAAAAAAAAGAAATTCTACACTAATTCTCATAACCTAGCTTTTTGAGTACTTTTCCTCTTTTGATATGATAAATTCTTGATTTTTTAATAATTCCTAGCGTTTTTACATGGTACGTATTTTGTTTTTGCTTTCCTCCCAGTAAAATTCTCTGATATAAAGTTATATCAAAGGATTATATGAAAATATATGAATTATAGGAAATGTTTTATTTGAATTCTATGAAAAAATTTTTATTAAATAAGTGTAATTGGCAAAAAAATCATTTTGATGTTAATTTCCTTTTTTGCCATAGGGAAAGTTGCTTAATCTCATTTTGTCTCATTTCTTAACCAATGAAAGAACATAGCCAAGAATGTTATGTTAAATTATAGATCTCAAAAACTGGATCATGGATAAGTAAAAAAAATAACTGTATATCCATATTGTTAAAAAATCATGTGTAAATACAAAATATATACTGCATGTTAACAGTAGAATATTTTTGTTTTCCCAGTATTCTGCATTGAAAGTGTATTACTAAATCATAAAAGGATACTAATCCCATAGGAAAAAATTATATTCTCTAGAATATACTTACACTGATAATCTCATAATGTGAAGAAGAGGATGCTGGAGACAGAATTTACTGAACATTTTTACTCATATATATACATTCTTTTGATGTCTGATACTTTTGTTCCATAACTATTAAAGGGAGGAAAATCCAAATGAAAAGCTATTGAACACATTTTTAACTAGGGACAAAAGCTTGCGAGATGGTGACCATAATTTTCTTTAAATTTTTTTGAAGGCACGAAGTGTAAATGTGAAAACACAAGCTCTTTCTGGATACAAAGATCAATTTAGTTTGGAGATTACAGGTCCTATCATGCCTCATTCTCTACATTCTGTGACTATGCTACTCAAATCTTCACAGAGTGGGTCGTTTTCTGCAGGACTGTATACACATGAGCCAACTGCTGTATTTAATATCTGGCTTCCAGGAAAGAAAGTACAGGATAAGGTAAGTAGACAGCTATAAATACATTTAGTTGTAGCTAGTTTCCTCAAACTAGATGGAGAAAATGTGATTTATGATGAGCCAAACTCATGTTTCAAGTTATTAAACTGTACTACTTAATTTGATCAATTATAGTTACTAAGAGGAAGGGATAATGTATATATATATAAGTTGTTTTTGTAAGGTGAATTTTATGAATTCAGGCTGTTGTACTCAACAGTGACTAAAGAACTTCCCAAACAAAAAGGCAAGTTATTTTCATTGTTCTCTCAGATCAAGAACTTAATAGTGTCTGATTATTTTATTATAAATAACTATGGGTATGTATTTAACCATATTTGCCTTTAATTTTGGACATATTTAGGTTTTTATTTAGAGGTTATAATTAAGACCTTTAAAATTGCCTCTCATATCAGTTTACTAGACTTATCAAAATAACAAAAATTAGTATTTTTGGATGCTGTCACTATGCAGAAATGCTTAGGGTCAACTTCTATTGATAATCATCAATTGCCCTTGCTTTATAAACATGAACAAGGCACTTATTTGTCCAAGTTCCCTTTGTAATTATTAAAAACTTGGAGTGTTTCAAGACTGATGTGCTTTTTACTAACTTGTATACAAATTTCCACAGGAAACTGTTCATGAGGAGCTTGCTAACTGTGGGTTGCATCCTAAGACTCTGGACCAACTTAGTCAAACAGCAATGCTGGGGAAATCATCTTTACGGCATGTGAAAATGAGTGACTACATTTATAATTGGAGGTCCTGAACACCAAAGTAAGCCTAAAAGGAAACTATGAGGAAAAAAGCCCTTCTAGCAAGGAAATTGAAGATTCTTAAACCTTTGACTTTAAAGTTCATTTTGGAAGTTAAAAGAAAGGAATTTTTAAAAATTCAAATGTTTATAAACATTAACCTTTTACATTTAACTTTTACTACATGTGCTAAGCAGTAGGATTAAGGTTTTAAATCATTTTGTTTTTATTATTTTGATTATATTCAGGTATGGAGATAACTGAAACTTTTTAAAAACCTCAAATAACTTGAATGAGAATTCTAGCTCCCTACAACCTAATTATAAACTGAGTAGAAAACTCAATGTCATTGTTTCTTGCAAATAGGAAATTGAGGCTAACTTAATATCAATTATCTCACCTTGCGAATGGGAAATTGAGGCTAACTTAGTATCAATTATCTCATGGCATTGTGACTAATGGCATCAGGGCAAAACTATTAAACAATTTACCTAGGATTATTAGCAGGTTCTAGTTTCATAAAGGTAGAAAACAAATGTAGACAATATCTACTGAGCTGACCATTGATGCTTCCACCTTAGCTGTTTTTCCTGATTTACAAATCCTCTATTCTCAAATATATTAAATCTGTTTTTTTAATGCATGTTTATTCAGATAAGGGCATTTTGTATTACATACAGAATAGTGTTAAGAGTTGTAAAGTATGCTCAGCTGTCACAGCAAAGAAGTATTTTATCTTGTAGGTATTTGTGTGTGTATGTGTATATATATAATTCAAATTTTCTTAAATAAAAGTGCTTAGAAATCAAAAGCATTGGGTAAAGAAATAACAGTATTTAGTGAAGATGTGTTCACTTGATAATCCAGAAAATAAAACACCACATTTATTCCAGAGAAGTTTATATTTGGGCCTTAAGCTTTTGAAAATAAAGTTTAGAGACATAGCATATGAATACCACTGTAATACACATGAAATATTCTATCAGACCCTAAAAATTAACATAAACTTAAACTTTCTCATAGTCAACAAAATAATGGCTGGGTGCCGATTTTATTAGATAAGTTGGTTACAGCATTTTAATTATCATTTTACGTCTATCTAGGTGTAGCTGAAATTCAAAATGCACATCAAAGTAAAACTATCACAACTCAATGCCATACTAAATGTACTTGCCTTCTGCAGTAGAATTCTAGTTGGAGTTAATTTTGACTCCCTTCTCATGGCCTAAGTGGCTTTGACAGGAACACAGAACTTAGTGCTGATCATCACACAACATACCACTTTCTTTTTATAACCTCTACAAAATTTTAAGGGGAGATGGTGGCATTAGCCCTGTGGAACAGATCTTGCTTGATTACCTCAAATAACACTGGCCCAGTATCTGTCCAGCAGAACCCATTGTGAACTAGTACAAGGTGCACAGCCCTTCACTGATTACAGGCAAGTGTTACAGCAGCCTAGCCATAAGGAAGGGGAGTTATATCATAGTACAAAATACAGTATAAAAGCGTTATTTAACATTCCACACTGAAGATTACGGATGCCTTCAAACAATCGTTTGGATGTTAGCCACTTAAACAAATACATCACTAAGGTAAACAATATAAACATACCAAAACCCTGTATGGTTAAATACAATTTCCATGGTACAAAAATCAAAGCCTGGAGATGTTTGTACAGATTGCTTTTTACACAATGTCTTAAATTGCCAAATATTTACAACATTAAAGAGGAAGTACATTTTGATGCAGAGTAAAATTATCTGAAATGATTAATATAAAACCTCAATCTATCTACGTGAGGCACTCCTGAAGCAAGTGGCATTAGCCATGAGGTCCTTTGGTACAAGGCCCATTGCTTGAAGAACCACAGTAGCTGCTGTGGCTTTAGCATGCTTCTTATTAGGGCTGGCAAAGCTGGGCTGGTAAGCGCTTCCATTTATCAATACCTATTCAAGAAAAACATACAATTGGGCTGGTAAGGGCTTCCATTTCTCAATACCTATTCAAGAAAAACATACAATAAGAACAGCATCAAACTTTAATATCTATTAGCTTTTTATTTTTTCACTAAATGCTAGAAAAATAATCTATAAAAATATAAAACCCATACTATATACATCAAATTAATCTCAACCCAGAAGAAAATCATTTGGGAAAAGGGACTGCAAATTAAGAGCAGGTCTCCAAATGGAAGGGAAGGAAAAAAAAAAAAAAAAAAAGGCCTGATGAAACTACTAAATTAATTCCCCATGTTCCACTAGAAAATGTCAACAAATTGCTCACCAGATTTTGCCCACATCCTTCCCTCCAACATTTTTGAAAACAGTATACTACAGGTCATATTTAAAGCATACTTAAATGTTTAAAACCCCCACCACTCTACCCACACATATACACACCCCCAACCCACAAACAATATATTAATCCTATGATCCTATAATGCTTATCCCTCACCCTCTAACATTAAGTCATCAAGTTATTAAATGTATACAATTAATGCAGAAATTCATATTTACCCTAAAGAGAAAATGTTTGCGATGATCAGGGCCACTATCATGGACCAAGAGAAATTCAGGTGGTTGCCACCTTCTCTTATTACAGATTTCCATCAAGGCAGACACAGGATGTTTGCCTGCAGAGAAAAAAATAACCAGTTATTATTTCCACCATCTGTGGCAACAGATTATGAATGCAGTGTGGGGATGGGCAAGAGGAAATGCAAGTGTCTCTCACCTGACAGATCTTTCATTGCAGCAGAGAAGTTCCCAGACCTCTTTTGTGCTCTTTCTCCTACTGCAACAAGACCTTAAAAAAAAAAAAAAGTCAATGTTCACTGAATCAATTTCAAAGCATCATTTTAAATTATAACAGCAAAATGGCAATTCCCTCTATAGGAACCTGAACTTCAATCTATGCCTTCAAATAAAATATTCAACAAATTCCCACTACCATTGATTTCTGTATCCACCTTGACTTCTATATTGCTGTGTTTCAATATATAAATCTATACTTTTTTTTTCATATACCTTGGTATTGGAAACTGTATAAAAAATATTCAGAAAACAGAAGAATATGTGAATATATATACAAATTAAGCGCCATAGTTATCATCAACTCCAGGGCTGTTTCTTTGTGAGTTTAAGAAGTAGTGGCTATTTATTCTAAGTGGTATCTAAAGGTTTCCCATCCATTAAAAAATAATGTTCGGGCCGGCCCCGTGGCTTAGCGGTTAAGTGCGCGTGCTCTGCTACTGGCGGCCCAGGTTTGGATCCCGGGCGCGCACCGACACACCGCTTCTCCGGCCACACTGAGGCAGCATCCCACATACAGCAACTAGAAGGATGTGCAACTATGACGTACAACTATCTACTAGGGCTTTGGGGCAAAAAAAAAAAGGAGAAGGATTGGCAATAGATGTTAGCTCAGAGCCGGTCTTCCTCAGCAAAAAGAGGAGGATTAGCATGGATGTTAATCTTCCTCACAAAAATAAATAAATAAATCTTTAAAAAAAAAATAATAATGTTCAATTAAGTATGTTCCCCAAAAGGTGAGGATTTTAGGCCACCGAAAAAGAAAAAAGTGAGAAGGGCTGTCTCTGTGCATAAATGGGTCCATTTTTTCCCAGCAAACAAGCCTTTTCTCGCTTATCAAATGTGAGAGGTTCTCAAAAGACAAACATAACCTCACTGCCTAACCTCCTTTTCCAAAGGGGTTTAAACTATATTACTATCCAAAAATCAATGCTTTCCCAACTTCCATTTATCCTAGGAGGAATTCTTCAACCAGTTCTTTGCTAATTCTGCTAGTATGCTTTCCCACACCCAGGCCATGTTGCACAGTTCCAAAGAGAATGTTCCCTGGAATTATACAATGCATCCAGATTTCTTTTTCCCCCAATGAACCACCTTTTACTCCACAAAGAATCTGTTCAACTTATATAAGCAATATAATAATGTGACAATCAACACAATGTCCTTTTCTGATTTAAACTCTGAATTAACACTACATCATAGGATGAGTCTCATGTTATTTCTAGCCTATTTCTGAGTATCATTATTACAATAAATTCCCTCCAATTTGAAATAAAGTGGCAGGACAGTATTGTACATGGATGACAACGTAGAAATTCTGATGCAAAACATTTTTGAAAATACCTAATTTGGTCAGAGCTAGTCAGTTTCCAAATTCATTCAGACAGAATAATTTAATTGCATTAACTTCAACTTTCTATTTGATTACAAAGATAAGGAAAATAAATTCCAGTTTCTAAAAATCAGTCTTAAGCTATTGAAATCACATTGAGCTGGCAGCCCCATGTCATTCTACTTAGGACATTATTCCAAGGGAAGAAATTATTGAAAAGGTACCAATTGGCTGTTATCTATGAGCACTAAGTATATTTTTAACACTTAGCAACTATGAGCACTAAGTATATTTTTAACACTTAGCAACTACATGCAGGCTATATAGACCCCACCCCCACCCCGAGGTATCTGAGGACAATAGCTAAATACAGGCAGAGATACCAGTTCCAGGGTGCCCCAAACACGGCAGTATGAAGAGGTAACACTGATGGTCAGCAGTTGGTCTACTATTCTGCAGCCCCAACCCAAAAGAACTCAATTACTGAGCAAGAAGAGAGGAACAGGTAAAAAGGGTTTATAAGGTGAAGACAAAATAGCATTCTAATAGGAAATATGGAGACTATATGGGATAGAATAGCCGAGACAGAAAACATACATAGCAAAGGTCGACTCTTAAAAGCTCAAATTAGTGTCTCTATCTATATTTATATAAGCTGCTGAAAATGAGTTTAACTTTTTTTTCCTAACAAATAGCTATATATACACCAGAAGAAGTGCCTCCAGTTCAGGATTACTGACATCAAAAGAATATATGAAGGTAATGAAACCCTAAATGTTAAAGGACGTATAATAAACATTCCCAAAAAAACCTGTTACCTTTTCGGTCTGTCTTAAAATCAACTAGGATGGGCTCCTTATTTCCTTCCTTGTTTTTTCCTAATCCTTCTCCTTCTCTCCAGCCCATTTTTCTCATCAAAACGGCTCCCATTCCTCCAGTTACCGGGGCTGCTCTTAAGAACTGATCCTATCCAAAGAAAGAAAGGTAAAATGTCCCCATTTTACAGTTAGAATTTGACTACAAACTCAGTGTAACTTTGTAAAAAAAGAAATCTTACTTTATTCTAGATCTGTTATAGTTATTATAGCAATTAAATTTAAATCCTTCTATACTTATGTACATACTGTAGTGTGTATGGTCTAATTATTTTCACAGTAACATAATAGTATTTTAAAAGTCAAATAAGGCAAATAAATGGCAGGTTTAAAACAATTGCCCCTCATGCCCCCCTCCAAAAAAAAAATGAGAACACTCCTGTTTTCGTCCACTATTTAGGTTCACTGGTATCTCTTCTTAGCTTGCAAAATAAAAAGAAGGCAATGTTAAAACAGTGAATAGTATTAATTGTCCCAGGTGTACCTAGTTAATGAATAAAGCCCAAAAATCATTGAAATAGTTTGGACACTGAAGCAGCATACTGATATTATCCAAAGTTTTCTTCCCCATTCTACCATAAAGCAAGTATTAATATTTTACTTAGAAAATTCCTATGAAGCAGAAAGATAACACTTTAAATTAACTTTACACACTAAGAAATGGAAGACAATCACATAAAATACCCTGTAATTACACCATACTGAATTTGAATTCTTTTAAAACCTATCTTGATGTTAAAAGACTTAAAAAACTCCTTAAACGTTTACATACCTAGGCCTCGGTAGCAGCAGTGTTGTGAATAGTAGGGCTGGCACTGACCGGGGCAAGAAGACAGCTACAAGGATTTGGCCCTGAAACAAGTTTCCATACAGAGGGGTGAAAGTTCACAGGTTATTCTGTGAACAGTCATCTCTCTTGTATCCAACCCACTGAACCATAATTTCCATCAAAGCAGCAAACCACTTAATGTCGTAAGATGCACAACTATATACATTAGCATGGTCAACGGTCGATTATTTTCACACATTAAGAAATAACGTGATGCCTCTTTTTCAAGGGCATCCATGTACAGATAAAAAACTACTGAATTCTACTGTTGATCTTTACAGCCATTTTAAAAAAATTAATAACATACATCTCCAAATCATGCCATATTTTCCCTTGTTATTAAATTTTAGATTTACATTCTCTAGGAAATATATAGCAAAAGTCATTAACTTATCAACAGAGGGAGTCAAAAATTTTGGTAGCTCTGGAAATAGTAGGCATTCATCGTTCCTGTATTGATAAGTTAACAATGAACTTTTAAAATCTTGTTTCTTGTTTTTACACAATAGTAAAACCGTATAATCTCATTTTTTCCCCAGCTTTTTAATTATATGCTGGGGAGAAAACATGCCAATGATGTGTGACTAGACATTAAGTTCAACAAGGTGCTCTGATGGAAGGAGGCAGCTGTGGAGGTAAAAATATACCCCTGGTTCAGTTCCTTATTTGGTGCAGGCCATGCAGTGTTGATGTATAAAGAGAAAAGTTAGCTGATGCTTGGATATCAACTGCCTTGTTGCTACACACCTAGAATGACTTTTACTTACTTCCAGGTTCATCCGCCCCTCTTTTCCAGGAAACACTCCTAAAAAAAAGGGCAACTGTGCAGAGTAGAATACAAATCCCCAAATAACCCAGGCTTCTGATTTTGCTTCCATTCTCTAATATTATCATCTGTTTCTTTACCCCAGTGTGTATACAGCTCACAAAAGGCTGATTAATCTAATGAGACTATGATGGTAAATAATATTCATCAGGGTCATGCTCAAATCATTTCAATCCAGAAAAGATTTTAAATCAATAACCATTTAAAAATGTTCTACTGACAATAATAAAACTCTCATTCTTTTTCATCTAAGAATATACTGCAACAAACTAAAACATAAAATGGAGAATGTTGGTATTTCATGTGGATTTTTAATATATAAAGAGTGTGCTGGGCTACAGCAAGGCAAGAAAAGCCAAAATATCATTGAAAAAGTTTTCTGAACACAAGTAGACAGTTTTGTGATATTTGCCAATGAAGATTTTTCAGTTGCCTAATGACTTTTCCACATGTTCTGGCTCATTTTTATAAATAATATGTTCCTTCCTTAATTTATATTAGTAGCAAATAGTCTTCAGTAACATACAAATTGAAGTTTTCCTAAAAGCATTGCTTTCTTCTGTAATTATTTAAAAATTTGGCCTGATGAATGAACACGTCTTTATCTCATGATAATTTATCAAAATAATTTACATTATATTTACATTTAAAATGATGTAAATTATCTGAAATCAGTCAACTGCCTACAAGATGGGAAATCAAAAAAAAATTAAGAGAAAGTTTACAGGGTACCAAGTGAATCAGTAAAAGATTCACTTTTTAAAAGTTATGTTAACATGATGATGTTTAGAAGTATACAAGCATTATGCATCAGCACTTTATACAAATGAAGACCAAAATTTTGCAAAGGAATCACATTCATAAGTTTCTACCTAGTCATGTGCATGACTATTTATTACGTACCTAAACACCCATGTAAGCTTCAAGTCTAACTTCCTGAAATACTGAATACTCAGCTTCAAGATTAAATAGTATTAAAGAATTAAACTGTTGAAGAAATAGATGTACATTTCTAATTCTTCCCAATGAGATGAAAGCCACTTTCCAAATACTATACTAATCACTTTCACATTGTAAATACTGTATTAGTCCAAAATTAATTCAAACTTAAGAATATTTTGCTAGATTCTCATCTTTTTTCCCCACACCAAACCCTAGTAAACTACATAAGTTGTAATTTTTTAATGAATCTGACCATGTACTCACTATACACGTATTAGTGCAACTATTTCCCCCCAAAACTGGCAGGCAAAGTGAGGATATATAATGTTTTGTATTAATTTGTCAATAAGAGGACCACGAGACATAATGCTATCAAAACTGAAATAAATGTTACAATATTAAAAGGTCTGAAGCAACCAAAAATCTCATTTTTCAGAAACTCATCTCATTCAGTGGCACTCATGGCAATTCTCTATAGGTACCCACCACATTATTGATTACCACCCTGTAAGGGAGTAGTAAGGATCTGTCTTCACGTGACAATTGGAGACTGAAATTCCAAGTAATTACTTGCCCATGATCACAAAAGGAGTCAGGAGTACAGCGGGATAAAGAAACTTTCCCAATCCATTAGACCATGCAGCCTCCCAGTTTCAGCACAGCTATGTTGCCAGTACTCCTGAAATAAATTTCCCATCACCCATCCAACCAAGCCACATCCCTTCACCAGAATGCATTTCTTCAGAAAACCCTTCTTAACCACCTAAGACTCCCCCAACAATGAGGCAGCCGTAGGTGGAGTTCACAGGTCTCACTGCAGGAATCTGAAACCAGGAGCACCTACATCTTCACAGCACCAGGCGTCCGTCCTCTCCCTTGAATTTAAGTTTTATATATCCTGTTTTTTCATGAGATCAGTGGTTCTCAAATTGAGCCTGTGGATCACCAGAGGCCACCAGGGCCTAAATGGTGGTCCACAGATAGTTTTCTTCATCTCCATCCCACCCCCTTCACCACCCTTCAGCACTGCCCACCCCACGCTCCAGCCATCCTCCCCCAGCCTTCCAGTCCCCTGGCAAGATCACCACATGCAGTGCTAATACTGGGTCCACCCAACCACTTGCTGTAACCAACAGCAGACAACCACAGGGACCTGAGGCTGGAGATCACAAGAGGGGTGAGGCAAAGGGGCCTAGGGAGCCTTAGAGGAGGGTGCAGGCACGAAGGAAAGGGAAAGAAGGGCAGAGGAACAGAGGAATGGAAAATTAGGGTGGTAGAGGGCTCTTGGGGGCAGTGATCCACCAAAAATACTGCCCACCAAAAATAAACCTGTAATAAAGTATCCCATGTTGAGAAAAACTTTGAGAACCACTGCTTTGAAATCATTAGTAGTCCAACAGGAACTGTGGAATATTCTGAACAGCACCTGAGATACACTGTTAGCATTAAACACAATTTAAAAAAACCAGCAGCAGCAACAATACAAATAACCTCAGGATATAAATTGAGTGGCTCTTGAGCCATATTTATACATTTGCCATTGTCTCATGAATCAGGTCCGTCTTCAGTGTCCATCCTGGAGTACATACACATACCAAATTTACTCATGACTTTGGTTATGAGTAAAACTGGCCTCTTTGTGCAGTTTTAATAAAACATTTTCTAAAAAATTTTAACTTGGTACTTGGACATTTTTGTATGTGCCTGTGTTGTGTACCTTTTTAATCCAGGCTTGGGCACCAGTATTGGCCAACTGTTCCTGTGTCAGAACCTGTACTCCTGTACTTCCTGTGAACTGGCCAGGAATAGAGTTCAGCTGAGCCCAGGCATCAATCTGAAGAAAGGAAGATAGCTCAATTAACTAAGTAAAATTACTTATCTAGTTAAAATCCCACTGGTATTAACAATTCTCTAAATGAAATGGTTTATTTAGTTCCTGAAAAGGCTTAATTATAGACTTGAATATCCAACTTTTAAAACAATATACTGAATTTATATATATTTAAAATTGTTTTCCTAAATATTTCAAAGAAGCAGTTTGATAAAATTGAGTGAATCCCATTAATAACAAGATTTGATATATCTCAACTCAAAGCATAACTCTAAAACTCGTTCTTTAAAAATACCACACATATACATGAAAAATATAGAAAAGAGCTCATATAGCAAAAGATCCCTGCCCTCCTGCTTATGTATCTAATATAAATGCATTCTAATAAATGTCATGACAGCCTAAGCTTTTAATTACTTTCTTTGACATATTATAAATCCAGAGTAAATTCAAGATATATGCTGAAAAAGCAATAAAATACAGGAAATTGGTTCACTCAAACACATGAAACAGCTTTCTTTAAAAATTGTGCACTACATTAATCACAGCACTTATTGTGATGGTTGAAGAATCAGCTGTCATTCATTCAAAGTATATTTACTGAACGCCTGGTATTGTCAGGCAACGTATTTTCTATCTGTCTGAACATGTACTTATTGTTTCCACACAGATCTACCATAGAAAGGTAGAAGAGAAACAGAGAAGATGTCTATTGTTAAAAGCATAGACTCTGGACTCAGACTGTCTAGATTTGAATCCCAGTTGCCTCACTTTCTAGTTTTGTGACCTTGGGCATCACTTAACCACTCTTTACCTCAGTTTCCTCAACTGGAAAACAAGAACTCATAACAGGAGTTACATCTCACAGGGCTATTATGGGCACTTAGCTATTTTTATAGACCAGACTATAAACTCTATGAGGGCAGGGAATTTTTTCTCTTTTATTTCTCTCCAACAGATCCTGCCACACAGTACACAATAAACATTTACTGAATGAATGATCAGGGCCCAAATAGCTGATTTCATTTAAAATAAACTAGCTAATTAAGATAAATGATTTATTTTCCTGGATTTTCAACATCAAGACCTACTTTTTTTTTTTTTTAAGATTTTATTTATTTATTTCCCCCCTACCCCCAAAGCCCCAGTAGATAGTTGTATGTCATAGTTGCACATCCTTCTAGTTGCTGTATGTGGGACACGGCCTCAGCATGGCCAGAGAAGTGGTGCGTCGGTGCAAGCCCGGGATCCGAACCCGGGCCGCCAGCAGCAGAGCACGAGCACTTAACCGCTAAGCCACGGGGCCGGCCCAAGACCTACATTTCAACAGCACGCCACAGACTTTGCTTATGTCACAACCATCTAATTAGCGAAAATTCTCATTCAGACATTAAAACTGCTACATACCCGTTCCTGAGCTCGATTTAACATGCTCATTGCTTCAAGGTCAAATGCATTCTCACTGAGTCTTTTCTGAGCAAGTGCCCGCTCACTCATTGCTGTAGAGATGTCCACAGGCTAAGAAAGAAAACATAGATAATTATCTCAAATTACAATAGAGCCCCTACATTCTGAAAAGTGCTCTTATCTTTAGTTGCTACATGTCAAAAACAAATTAACAGTCTTTCAATAATCTTGTAAAGTAGGGAGAAAATTCAAAAAGGTAAAATAACCTTAAAAAGTAGACAAGGATTATTTAAATTACAAAGTTATCAGAGGCAGCAGTTAAACTCAACCCAAAATTTGATGTCATCATATTTTCTACTATAGCAAATTATGACTGTAGAAAGTTCCATGAAGAATTTAAAAATCTCTACCCTTCACTAACAAAATAGTCACTTATAGTAAACTAAGAATTTTTTCAACTATTTTTGAACTATTAATTTTATATTCATTAGCAGTTTTCATTTTACCCTACTTATTATTACCATAACCTTCAGAAGCAATAAGCAAGGTTCTTGAATAAGCAAGCAGAAAACGATATCATGTCAAGGATCTCTCCTTTACTCATCTGCACATCTTTTCACCTTCTTGTGTTGCTCACAGATATAGTTTGGTCTTAAGAACTCAATTTCTTCAAAGAATATATTCATTACATAAATAAATTAATCTTTTGTTTTCAGTGTATATACATTTATGATCGAAGTTAAAATACTTCTTTGGGATAACATAAATTAAAACACTGAAAATAAGATACATTTGAAACATCGTAAGTTGTTCTTTTCAAAGCTCATATTCTACCTGTAAAAACCTTATGCTAAGCAGAGGTGACTTTATGGTTTAACTTTTTGAAATATTTCATAATGTCCAGGAAAATTCTTGAAGGTAAATCCTCTCCTCTTTGGAGCAAATTCCCAATTTGTCAGATTTGTGGAAGGCACAACCACACAAGGAAAAACCTATCAACTAAGTATTTGATGTTTTTTGTTCTAATATTAAGAGCTCAGGTTGATTTGTATCAACTCACCAATTCTTAACACTTGTTTTTCTTCTTACAAGACTTAACCCATTAATATTGTCTAGTTATTTCACCCAAGAAAATTCATTTTTGGAAAATGCTTATCTGACATGGGAAGGTTTTCCTATATTCATATACAAAGAATGATTAGTAAGTATTGCATGGATATGACCAATATAAGTAAGTCAGTAAATAAAGTTAACAGCTAAGGATTTTTTAAAAAGCTAAGTAACGGCTACCTATAATTTGACTGTGTATTGCATTTAAATACTTCTTTTAAGAACAAGACCTGTACAGTAAAGAAGGGTATGTGACTATGAGTGAATAATTCTATTTCATGCATAAAGATTACTAATCTTCCTTTTCCTACCTTCAGAACCCCTTAATCACTCCATCATTCTTAGTTATCTTACTCAATCACCTAATAATATTCCTCCAGTGAAATTAAATTTTTTCTTCCACAAAGTATAGATTCTTATATATTGCCTTTTTAAAATGAAAGCAAAATTAAACTGAATTCATTCTGTAATTGTTGGCTAGACTGTTTGCAGATCTCATGAATCAAAGATCTTAATTTCTTAGTCAAATTAGTAAATTATCCACACTAATTAGAATATTTCTGGGGCCCATAAGAAATAATCTAAGTCAGACCAAAACACTAAAAAACTTAGTATGTTCACTTTTCGCTTACTTCTATTGTAATTCTAATCAACTGCTGAAACTTTAAATGGGAACCCAGACATTTCAGGTCAAAATTTATGTTCCTTCGGCCTACTTTAGACGTTTCCTAAAACTATTAGGTAGGAGTATTGATGTAATATTTGAAGGCCCACCAAATATATCTCAAGTACTGTTCATTAACCTTGCAATTATTTTGGGTTTCACAGCAGTCTATAAATCTAGTTGTTAAGGTGTTTAGGTATAAATAATAGCTTTTTATCATAAAAAGTCTAGACTCAGAGGAAATACTGGGAAAAATCTTATCTACCCACCATCCCAAGCCCTGACCCCCAATTTCCAATTATAAATTAGCTATAAAAATGTAGTTAAAATGGCTGTGAAAACTCCAGATTCTCTAGAATAAAATTAATTCTTCCCAACTGGAAAGCAAATGAATATCTGTATCTGTAAATTCATCCTTCCAAAGACATTTTATATCTTCATACTTTTTCTCTTTAAGGCTTTATTGAGTAAGCAGGTAACCTAAATGCCTCATCATTTATCCTGAGGATGAAACGTCATTCAAATCTCAGTAATATTTTATGTTAAATTCACATCTCACTCTGACAGAAATTTTTAATATAGCAAAACCTTAATGTTTAATAAAATTTACTTTAGATAAAATTACAACTAGTTTTTTATCCTGAGGTAATACAACCTCATTTAGTCTTCAACAGGCTTACCAAGGGAGCTGCAAGTTCACGTCAAAACTTTATTACCAAACAGTAATTTGACTATTAACTTCATATTCATATTTTTTAATGTGAAGAAAGACCCAAATAGAGTGAATCAGGATTATCTTAACCTTTTAAGGATCCTTGACAGTTTGCATCAAAAAAGCAAACTTTTGTTTCCAAAAAAAAGCAAACCATGTTTCCAGGTTCTCAAGGTAACTCAGGATATGCAATAATGAATAAAAAGCCACCTATAATCCCCAAATATTCAAGGACTAGACCAAATGTTAAATATCAGTATTACAACAGTCATAAACTATCACAACTACCCTTTAGAGCAGCACTGTCCAACAGAATTTTCTAGTGATAGTTAATAAGCATTATGAAATGTGACTAGTGCAATTAAGGAACTGATTTTTCAGTGGCTAGTGACCACTATATTGGACTATATAGTATGTATGTGTGTGTGTATATAGTGGACTATACTATAGAGTACAGCTTTAGAGCGTTAACCATCTTTTAATGTTGCTCAGAAACAGGAATGTGTGAAATCGGTACCAAAAAATGATGCTAAAAAGCCATTCTAAAAACTGAGAAAAAAAGAATCTTAAATCCCATAGAATACTATTATCGAGTTGTCATCAACAAGCCTTGTTTCCAGTGATACACTACAGACTTTCTACCTAATGTATAAAGTATAATTATGATTGTGTAGTAATATTCTAGGTATTATAACGGGGGGTGGGGGGGGATGTTTAATTTCCTTTTCCCTAGGCCTTGGTCTAAAAGGTGAAAGCTACATGAAAGGGTGTCCTGAATTATAATTCCAGTTCTCACATTAATAAAAACCTGTCCAAGTTATTTCATTTCTCTACTTTAGCAACAAAGCGGATTACTACTACTTCTATAACCTGAAAAGGTGTCAGGAATAGTGAAATACATAACATAATGGGCAACATGCATTTCATGGCCTAAGTTATAATCATGTACTTTCTGTATCTTCTTCATTTAAAGAATTCTTCTAAGCCAATTTGCTTCCTCCTTTTTGTTACCCAACAAGTACCTTAAGTATTTCTGTAGAAAGTCAATGAAAGGATATAAAAGAGCTAAAGAGAATTATTAGGAGGGGGTCAGTCAGATAAGGAAAATAACTCCTGTAATATGAAAATTATTTTCTACAATTGTACGTATCTCAGGTATAAAAGGAAAATTTTAATTATAAGAAAATAGAACTAAAAAAAAAGCATCGGACCTGTATGTAAAGTATGATTTTAAGACACTTAGCAAAAAATACAAAGAAGTTCATATAGAAAAGAAAATGACAACTACAAAAACAAAAGCCATGCTAATACAGAATGTCTTAGTTACGTTTGACTAGTTTTAAAAAAATGATGAACCTTTTTATTATGTCATATAAACTTCTCTAGTACAACTCTGAGATAACTTATACATTTAATCTAAATGAATTATAACAGGAAAACACAATCTATTACATGGTTCAAAGAAATTCAGTATTAATCACCTAGGAGAATCTAAGAAGAGAAGAATGAATAACAAGGCTGTACTTAACACATTCTAGCACCAAGACCTATGTGTTTAATTTCCAATTAAAATTTTCATCTTACCCCCAAAAACTTAGCTTCCCTAAGCTTTGTAACTGTAGAGCTTCTAAACGTAAGAGAATTTTAGGTCCACTGGGATGTGGAAATATTCTTCAATGATACAAACCAAGCACAATGCCTGAGAAAAATTATCTTAACATGTAAGCAATCACTAGACCTTAATGGAGAGCTACCTCTGGACCTTTAAAACATTTATGATTGATGATAAACCCAAGGAAATTTTATGTCAAATATTACATTTAAATAAATCTTCTACCCAATAAGCCTTTGCTAACATTATTACCAAGAATTAATGCCTCCAAGGACAATTTTTAAAATATTAGTTTTCCAACATTTTTGATTTCATCATTTATAAATCAGATTCACACAAATATGGTCAAGGTTCTGCAGTCACTCCTTACTGAGGATGATGCTGGCTGGCTTCTGGGTAGGAAGACGATGCTATGGCAGTAGGGCACACAGTCTGATGACTTGATATTCCATAAGATATGGACTTATGTTGATCCATCCACGTCTATCCACTCAATACTTATGTCAAAGAGCACTCATGTGCAAGACAATTGGTAGGATTATAGCAAAGCTGAGATAAAATCTGTGATCTTTGCCTACATGTTTTATGCTCAAAACTAAAGAACCATAAACTCCATTTATATTTATTAAAATGAGAAAGACTGATAGGTTAAAAAAAAAGTAAAAAATACTATTCAGTTAAAATATTGACCATTTAAAAGAACTTTCCTTTTACTCTATAAAGCCTTTATTTCAACCCTTGACAGGGAATCAAAGGGGTCAATGCCCCCATAAAATGTCACCAATAGTATTCCACAAACACTGATACATAATACATTAATCTTAGAAATATATTTGTAAGATACAGCTAAATAACTAGAATTAAACATTTTATATTGTGAACATTTCCTCTAAGTGTTTAATATTACTGCTAGCTAAAAGTACAGAGACCTGAAAGCAAAACAAAATCCTGTCCCTTTTCCTCCTAAAATCTGGGGATTGTTTTGCTTAAACTTAACCTATTATCTTTTTTGAGTCTAATCTTCTAAGAAACTAGCTTAAAGAGTTCTGATATCAAGTAGTTGTATATATCCTCCCTCAGGAGAAATCTGCTTCATTTATTTAGCCCTCTGAACAGAATCTTTTTTTCTCCTGCTTTAATAAAAGACTCCTTATAATAAAATTGAATACCCACCTTTTCCCCCTGGGATTCCTTTGGAATAATTCCCCCCAACTTTTAATTAAAATCTGACAATCAATTTTGATAACAGACAAGGCTAAGGCACCACACTGTCAGTGTTAAAACTGAAAATGGCTGAGTACTGAATGTCAGATATATATATATATAAATACACACAAAAGAAACATAATCATCAGGATTCACTAAGCACTTGCCTCATGTTCAGCTGAAGTTAAAATAGTTATAGTCACTTATCTTTGCAGGAAGATCCCTTGGAATTTTGCAATATTTATAGGGCTTCACTCCATTGGAAAATTTTTCTCACATAAGAATCTCTGTTTTTTCCAACTCTGTTAAATGCTTAGTCTGCAAGAAATTACTAAAAGCATGTGTCTCAGAATTTCTAACTAAGTTTGTTCAGCCCTCTTGGCATGGTTTATATTCAGCTACTAGAAGATTTAAGTCAGTTGCAAATGTCAGTTAACCTTTGCCCTCTTCACATGTGCAGGTAGCCTGATTTGGGGATTAGCAACTGAGCTACTCAACTGGTTTCACTCAAATATTGTCCAAACCAGCTATCCCTCCCTCACTGGTGATGGTATAACTTGCTTTAATTGTTGAACCTCAGGTAAACATAGATCATCACCGGTGACTGTAAGTTGCATTGGCTAGTTATCATGTTCAGCTTCACTGTATAGAATTTGATCTCTCTTAAAATGCCGGTCAAAAAAAACAAAAACAAAAACAAAAACAGTGACCATGTCGCCTGTGAATCATTCAGGGGAAAAAAATACTAGCAAAAACGTTTCTGATTTGGGTTCTGTTCACTTTCTGATTTTATATACAGGATTTGTAATATTGGAGGTGTTTAGTGGAAGATGATATGGCCAATGAAGGGAACCTGAAGGTGAAGAGTACAGGTCTCTCTGACTTACATATATCCCAGAACTGCAAGAAAAGAAGTAGGGAAGAAGTCCCACATTGTAAGGGCATCAGATATCTAGTCCAGTCCTTGGACAAATGTCTTGGCTTCCGAAACCAAGGGCAAGAGGTGATGACTAGTCTATGGTATCATTTAAAACTCCCACCCCCCTAGTAAGTCTCCACCCTCCCAGATCCCCCAAGCGTGATTTTGCACAACAAGTTAAATAAAAGTAAACTGTTTATTAAAAGATACAGCAAAGGTACAGATACAGAGATACATACAAAGATACAGATATATATATATATTTACATATATATACAGTCTTGCTGTTTTCATGTGCACTCTATTTAGCAGCACATTATTTAATCAGGCAGCATTTTAATGGGGTTGTTTTGACACTTGGTGTTATTACTGCGTCATTTTGACAAGATACAACTATAGCCTCGTGGAAATTAAGGTGTGAATTCCACTTCTCCAACTTTTTAATAGTGGCAAAGAGGGGAAGGAGAAGGGAAATGGAGTACCAAGGCTGAGCATTAGGTTAAACACAAGAATTCAAAAGGGCCAAGGTAGCACAGGGAAGGGAAAATGATTAAAATTAAAGGCTATCTGACAAACAACCCAGAGAAATAGTAACAAATTACCATTATTTAAAGGCAATGGGCTATGTATCCAAGATGCTCACATCAGCCTACAATGACCTTTTCCAATCCAGTTCTTGTGTTGAACCTGAGGATCTGCCTCTCTCTGCTCAATCCCTCCACCCAGTAAATTTGCTACCACCAAAATCTAGAACTATAGAGCCTTGAAGCAAAACGGGAAGCTAAATAGTTGTACCTTGGGCTACCTTCCCACAAGTGCAAGGAGGGCCCAATGTTGGGTAGGGATGTGACAACACTGTTCTCTGCAATTCGATGCTTTTCACTTTGTGGCTTGGTTCCACAAAGTGAATTGCATCGAGTTACTGTCAAATGAGAAGCTGCGGGTTGTTTCATCTGTCGTTTAACCCGGCCCTGCCGTTTAACCCGGCCCTAAGAAGAGTGAAACAGAATCCAAATCAGATATAAAATAACAATAAAATGGCAGATTCAGGTATAAAAAAGGAAAAATACATAATATTCCTCTTACTTACCTCAGAGGGCAAATTGCTGCTGAAAACATTATCATCATCTTTGTTTTCTTCACCATTTTTCTCTACAGGAACCCACTCTCCATAAACACTATCTGCTTCTTTTTTTCGATGTTGAGATCCAGATGACACAGGAAATTCTTTTGTTAATGTTACCTGGCTTTTTGGTGGAGTTGGCTTTGCCGCAGCAATCTAAAAAATAATGTATTTCTTAATTAAAACAAGAGATTTTTCAACATCTGAAAATTATTTTGTTCATTATTTCTCACACTATTTAAACCAAAAATTAAAGAACTAAATTCCATTTGAGCTTTACTTAACTAGTTCCGTAAGCTGTGCTGTTTCATCAATCCATAAACACTAATACTCACATTCAGATTGAAAAAAATGGGTTTGGGTTCACTGAGTTTAAAGGGATGATGATAAAAAGGAGGTTCTTCTTCCTCTTCATCCGAAACATGAGGCTTATTCACTATTACATCATCATCTTCTTTACTCTGTGCAATCTGTTTGCATTTCTTAAAAAATAAAAACAAACAAAAGATAAATCTTACACTTTATGTAGAATAACATGTAATTTCTTAAGAGAATCAAAACTACACAAAATCAACTTTCAAAAGTAAGACAAGATTAATGAGAGGTTCTAGATGGGTCACTTAGCTTATTAGCTATGATTTAAACACACTCTAGGTGGTCAGTCAGTCAACAACATTTATTGAGCACCTACTATGTGCAGAGCACTGTACTGGGCACTGTCCAGGGAATACAAAAAAAAAAAGTAGAAGACATGGTCCCTGCTCCCAAGGAGCTTACAGTCTAGTTCAAGAGACGGAATACATACACATGAGATAACTGAGGAACGCTTTTACAGAGCAACACAATTAACAAGTGCAAACTGATATAATACAAACTGAGTACATAAGTGCTGAAAGAACAAAAGCCTAAGAGAGAACAGAATCAGGAAGAATTTGATAATCAAGGGATATTCCTTGAAGAGTTCTAAGCCAGATTTTCATAGTTAAGAACAAAGACTGGCAGGGAAAGGAAAAGAAAGTCATCCTAGTTAGGTGGTGGTAAAAAGGTGAGAAGAAACTTATTAGAAGGGACAAGAGGGCTGAAGATGAGGCTAAAAACATATAGGGAAATACTAAGTGTTCACAAGGTCTTGGATAAGGAGCTTGGATTTGATAAGCAAGCAATGAAAGCCTTTACTAGGTCCTTAAATTAAAAAAAAACAAAGAGTTGTAATTCATATTGTAATAAATCTAAGTGAGGAAACAGATTAAGAAATTAATGATCCCCCAAACGTATGGTAAAATAAAAGATCTGAAACGTGTGACTGGGTTAGATAGCAACGTGTCTCTCCATAAATGTTTTGTAGGTTGAGTCTCTAAAGGAATAGAACTCAAGAATGGAAAATAAGGCATGATGGAGAAGGTTCAACTGATGAGGTCTGACACAAAAAGCAAAGTCAATTCCTTCCTGAGAAGCAAAGGAACAGACTCCGTTACCTGGCTTTATAAAAAGGTCAGAGTAAGTCTGGGTGGACTTGTCTCTATACAAGCAGAATTTGTCACATCCATTATCAATTGAAAATATTACAATAGGATAAAAAGCTCATTTAGCCAAAAACACAGAGTATACCAAGCTTGTAACCAAGGAGAACAGAATATATTGACAATGGCAGGCTGGCATAAGGCTAGCCAACAACAAGTTTCAATATATGAAACAGTGTGATATTTCTGGATCCTAGCAGCAATATTTCAGCATCCTCCCTCCCCCCTCCCCCAAAAAACAAAAATAACATTAATAACAAAACAAAGCCAAAAACAAAAGCCTCAATTGAAAAGATCAAATTCTTAAAAACAAAAATGTGTTTAAAATATATATGTTACTGCCAAAACCCGAACCGCAGGAAGAACTGATAATGGCTGGCCATTATCACCAATGGCTGGTACCAAACAGCCAAAACCCGAAATGTTGATGCGAAAGAAGTTCCTTTCAGGCAATGGCCAGCTATTCTCATTAATTTCCAAGCTCCGGTGGCAAAAGATCATTTCTGAAGATTGTCTGTGTCTTTGCGTATATGCAGTACACTCGTGGCGATCAGTGAACACGTCGTGAATGGAAACGAAACTGTAGGCGAGCTTCTGCGTGTTGCTCACTCAACACCTCCTCCATTCAAACGAACCGTCCCACTCCTCAGTCAGTTTGGCTTCTAAAACTGGAAAGCAAAAGTAATGGGAAGTAACTTTTAGCTAGCGGAGCTTAGCCATCCCGGATAATGGCCTGCTAAACAGAGCTTCTGCCGCTGCCACATCTGTATTTCGGGTTTTGGCCACTCGGTGCCAGCCATTATCAGTTCAGCCCACAATTCGGGTTTTGGCACGCTCCAGACTCAACATCACTGGAATAATCCATTTAAGAATGAAAACAAATTCTGTCTTGCTTACCTCAGTTAGTTCTTCTATAGTAGCTCCTCCTGACTTTTTAGCAACTTTCTCCTCTATTGTAGGTGGAGGTGCAGGCTTTAGGTTTGGCGGTAAAGGAACACCAGCCTTAGCACACATGGCAGCTGCATTAGCTTTGGCTATTTCAAGTAATTGAGCCTTATCTGTAAGAGGAAAAATATAAGAAGCAGTTTTCCTAAAAGGCTGTACATTTTCTATTATCTTAAGTTTTATATGCTAACAAAACTAAAGGCATCGATTTTCTGCCCTAACTTATAGCTGTGATCAAATCACTCTTTCACTCAAAGTTTTTCAGGGAATGCCCTCTATTTAAAGAATTACATCCACATTTAGCTTCCCATTCAATTACTATACAAAATAGCTGAATTATACAACTTAAATAAATGATCACCTTGCCACACACTCTAAGACACACACCTGCCAAAGCCTACTATACTTTATTCTCCAAAATTATGTCCTTAAATTACCTTCCCTTTAATCTCTGACAACATTTTAAATCACACTCTGAGCCCAAGTTCAACTGCCACCTCTTCTAACAAGTCTTAAGTCAGAATTTAATATTTCTCTCCACGGTGCTGCCAAAGTGCCTTACCTATACCAGTACTTAGAGCAATCATCACATTCTGCTGTTTGGCAGTTTTACTACTTGGTAAAAAAGACACATATGCATTTTATCCACGTCTTCTCTACTAACTTGTAATCACTTCAGAAATTACATACTGTTCTTTTGTTTTGAATAAAAAAAGAACTCAGAAACCTTTTGTCGAACTGAATGTACTCCCCCTATTGTTCTCTTACACTCTTTTTCTTTAGACAACTCTGACCTGAAAATGTCCAATATACTGGGATAACAATAAATTTCCACTATTATTGCAGGTGGTCATGTATTATCCATCAAGTTTTAATCATCTCTGCACACTTCTTAACATCAGGGGAAATTAGAGCACTTTTTATTTTTAAAGTAAGGCAGATTATTAAAATCACTTAAGTAAATTTCACTTTATTTTGCTAGTATCAGCTACTCAGGTAAATGACTCCCCACAAACAAAATTCCCTACTCACTTCCATTACCCATTATACCAATCAGAATTACCCTCACAAACATTTCACAGTCCTGTACTGCCATTTTAAGACACATAACTTATTAATAAACAAACATTGTAATTTTAGGCTTATTTGCAAAGATCCATGTTGGAATACATACAGTAACAGTCTGACAATATACTAGCCATGACTTTAACTAGACTTCTACTTTTCATTTTTAGTGATGGAAGATGGTTCAAGCAAAATAAAACATTCAAGTATGCAAACACCTTGGTTCTAATATACTCCAAAGCAGGTCTTCTTAACTCTAATTACAAATGTACTTATCCTCACATTTTCTAAACACAAGCTAATCTAATTTAAAAAATTTAAAGACAGAAATATTTATCCTAAACCAATAACCCAAAATATTCCATTTGACTTAAAGATCAGAAAAAACTCAGATTTAAATCATTCTCTAGGGCCGGCCCCGTGGCTTGGTGGTTAAGTGCACGCGCTCCGATGCTGGTGGCCCGGGTTCGGATCCCGGGCGCGCACTGAGGCACCACTTCTCCCTCCATCCTGAGGCCGGGCCCACATACAGCAACTAGAAGGATGTGCAGCTATGACATACAACTATCTACTGGGGCTTTGGGGGGAAAAAATAAATAAATAAAATCTTTAAAATAAATAAATAAATAAATAAATCATTCTCTATTACAATACCATTAAATTTTAAAATGACTCACTCAAATCTGTCAGACGTTTAGGTGATCTGCCTCTTTCAGAAGACCTGGATCGTTTACGACGGATGGGAGATCTGCTAAACCTTCTTCTCAAGGGTGTTCGTGATCGCCTTAATCTGACTGGTGATATACTGAAGCTTCGTCTTCTCACCACAGACCTGGATCTTCTCCGACGGCTAGGGGTGCGGCTCCGTCGGCTAGGGGTGCGGCTCCGTCGGCTTGGGGTGCGGCTCCGTCGGCTTGGGGTGCGGCTCCGTCGGCTTGGGGTGCGGCTCCGGCGGCTTGGGGTGCGGCTCCGGCGGCTTGGAGAAATGCTAAAGCTCCTTCTCCCCGCAGATCTAGACCTTCTTCGGCGACTCGGAGTGTGACTCCGACTCCGACGACTTGGGGTGCGACTTCGAGCTCTAACTGTTTTCCGGTTATCCCTGGAGCTTGATCTTTTTCTTTTTCTTTCCCTGGACTTGGATCTGTGCTTTGGTGATCTTTTGCGCTTCTCTTTTGATACAGATCGCCTTCCTCTAGACTTTGATCTTGACCTGCTGCTCCTCCTCCTGCGTCTTGAACGTGACCGTGAACGTGTTTGAGAGCGATGAGACTTTGACTTAGATGATCTCTTCCTTGCCCTAGAACGAGACTCACTGGTGCGCTTGCGTGATTTGTGTTCAGATGACTTGGAACGCTTACTTCGAGATCTTAATGAAGAGTCTCTTTTCTTTTCTTTCTCACCTTTGTCACGGTTCTTATTTTTCTTGCTTTTTTCATGTGTGTCCTTAACTTTTACAACAATTTCATAATCATCTTTTTCCTCTGAAGATGACTCTGAAGCTCTTTCTGGTATACTAATTACAACTGGACTGGCAGCAGATTTGTCACGTTCAACTTCACTTGCAAGTAAAGGTCCTTCAATACCAGCTCTGAGGCTTGTAAGACGTTCCATGTCCTTAGGAAGTAATGGTCTCACTAAATCTGCTTCATTAATATCGTCAATATTGGCAGAAAATCCTGAATCAGACAATATCTCTTTAGTTGGGAGAGGTACTTCTTTATCTTCTCCACTACTTTCTTTAGGGCTGAGAGCAACTGCTAATGTCTGGTCACTCTCTTTTATAGGTAATGGTCCTTCTGCATCCTTACTAATAAAATTATTATTAGATGGTAAATCAAGATGAATATCTTTAGCAGGCAAAGGTCCCTCTATGTCAGCTTCACTACCACCACTGGGGCTGGTGGAAATTACCATGTCATGGTCAATATCTTGTGTAGTCAAAGATACTTCAACATCATATTTACTACCTGAACTAAGAGCAAATGCCGTGGCAAATTCAATACCCTTACTAGTTCCCACTGCTTCAGGTTCAAGAGCAAGGGGACCAGTAGAAGATAGCGCTCCTCCTCCATCAGTTTCACTAACACTAGGGCAGGTATCCAATACTGTACATTGTTTCGTCTCGCTGGTGGGCAAAATTTTCTCTTCACCAATTTCACCAACAGCACCAGTGCTGATAGCAGACACTGTGTTAGGTTCCATGTCTTTAGCAATTAAATGATTATTTATATTAAGGTCTATATTTACACCATGTTCATTTTCATAAGAGTCATTCTTTAGGTGTCCTTCAGCATGTGGCTCTTCATCTGAATGCATAGGAATCTCCTGCATGCAAATTTCTGGAGCAAGATTTTGATCACCAGACAGTAAATTCATTCCTTTTATACCACTAGACTCCAGCATCATTGGTGTAGACTCTAAAACCATATCAGTTGGTATTACTTGAGTCTGCTGCACAACAGTAAGTGCAGGCTCTGAAACTGTCACAATGGATTCCTGGACAGAAACAGAGGGTTCTGAAACAATCATGTTAGGTTGAAGGACAGACACTGCTGGTTCCAGGATAGGAACAGTAGGCTCCAGGGCAGAAACAACTGGCATAGGAATGGTAACATGCTCTGGCTTAGCCAAGGCCAGAGGCTCCGGGACAGTGTCAGCTGGTGGGTCCAGGACAGCCACGGATGGAGGGTCCATGACAGCCACTGCTGGGGGCTCCAGGGCAGCCCCAGCTGGTAGCTCTGAGACAGCTGTGGCTGGCAGCTCTAGAGTGCTCCGTGATGGCTCTGGAATAGTTACTGCAGGCTCCAACAGGGACACAGACATCTCTGAAGCAACACGTCCTGAAGCTCTCAAGGAATCAAAGGTTTCTGCTGTCTCTGACATAATAGAAGGCTCTGATGTTAACACAGTTGGTTCAGCTGACATTATGGGAGTTTCAGACACCACATAAGTCACTGGTCTCTCTGGAACAATCTCATGTTCTTCTGCAACTACAGCAGACTCCATAGGTATTGACATAACCGAAGACTCTGGCTCTAGTGGTGGTTCTGGAACAGTCACAGTAGCCTCTGATGCTAACACTGAAGGCTCTGATGCTGACAATGAATAATTAGCAGGCACTGCCGAAGGTTCTGAAATCTCACTTTGACTCAGGGGAGGTTCAGGCAGCGGTACAGACTCTTCAGGAGGTAATGCTGACACCTCAGTAGGCCAAGTATTTTCAGCTGTTAATGTTGACTGCTCAGTAGGTAATGCCGGACCCTCTGGTGGTTCCTCAGGAGGCAACGGTGGTGTCATTGGTGGCTCCTCAGGTGGCAATGGTGGCATTGTTGGAGGCTCTTCAGGAGGCAAAGGTGGCACCATATATGCCTCCGTATATGTATCAGTATAAGAATCAGTGTAAGAATCAGCTGCCATAGACATCATTGAACGATCAGCAGTATAAGATGACATCATAGATCGATCAGCTGCAGTGTACGATGACATCATAGACCGGTCAGCAGCAGAGTACGATGACATCATAGACCGGTCGGCACCCATGGACATCATAGATCGGTCAGCCATCGGGGACATCATGGAGCGCTCGTAAGCTGACATCATAGAGCGCTCGTAAGCTGACATCATAGAGCGTTCGGCCATAGGAGACATCATAGAGCGCTCATAGGCTGACATCATAGAGCGCTCATAGGCTGACATCATAGAGCGCTCAGCCATAGGGGACATCATAGAGCGCTCATAAGACATCATAGAGCGTTCATAAGATGACATCATGGAACGTTCTGCAGCATAGGACATCATCATAGAACGTCTAGATGCTAACATCAGGGGTCTAGGTGCTAACCTATATGGCCTGGGGGCTATTCTATAGGACCTGGGTGCTATCCTATAGGGTCTAGGTGACATCCTATAGGGATCAGGAGTTAGTCTGTAGGGATCATGGCCTAATCTATAGGGGTCCTGCCCTAACCTGTAGGCATCATGACCTAACCTATAAGGGTCATGACCTAACCTATACGGATCCTGAGCTAACCTGTAAGGATCCTGAGCTAACCTATAGGGATCAGGAGATTTTGAACCCAACATAGCAGAATCTTGGGTACTAGATGCTAACATCTGGGCATCCATAGTACCAGACGCTAACATCTGAGCATCCATGGTGCCGGAAGCTAACATTTGAGAGTCCATAGTGCCAGATGCTAACATCTGGGAATCCATAGAGCTAGTTGCTAACATCTGGGAGTCCATGGTGCTGGTTGCTAACATCTGGGAGTCCATGGAGCTGGTTGCTAACATCTGGGAGTCCATGGAGCTGGTTGCTAACATCTGGGAGTCCATGGAGCTGG